AGAACAGACAGACAGAGGTAGGAATGTTAAGTCAGCTAGCGTTTGACTGAGAGGATACACCAGGAGTTTTGCAGGAGATCTACGTTTTGTTAAGGTTCTTTCAGCCTCTTCCTGGAACTATCTGGGTGCTAAATTAATTGCTCTTGATCCCACCTCGCGTTGCAATCGGCTTAGTGCTAATCTGGGGTTCTCGCAGTGCAGCCAAATCTCACCCGGGCAATGCTGCTGCACCGAGCTGTCCACTGCTCTCTTCTCCCAAGGTTTTGACCTCTGGCACAGTCTTTTGCACTCTGCTTTGCCGTACACTCCTATTTTTTTCATTCTACTCTTTCTCTCATTGTTAAGCTTTTGGGGGAGCTTAATTCTTGTTTAAACTTTTTTTTTTTACCGTGAATTAACTCAGCCCACCTCTTTTCTGAGTGCAGTCCATCCTTGTTGTCACATGATTGCTTTTCCTCACTGACTGAACCTCCCACTTATACTTTTTATATTTTCTCCCTTTTCTCATCTTCCCTCCCTTGCTGCATTTCCTTCATCCCTCTCTGCCTCAGAGATGACCACATGCTGCCTGCAGTGTCTCTCTCAGCTGGCTGTACCACTCGCCCTGCCTCTTTTCTCCTTTTTCTTACTTTTTTGTGTTGAGTTTCTCTGCTGTGCTGCTGTTTTGTTTTCCGCTGGCACGACGCCATCGACCATCTGCCTCACTTTCTTGTTTCTCTTTTCCCTTTTTCTACTCTACTTTTTGTTTTCTTCTAATATCAGTGCAACTATTAGTGATTTATTTTTTATTTTTGATCACAGGATAGGTTTATCTCATGCTGCCGTTGTTAAAAAAAAAACCCCTTTGTATCTTCCCTTTTCTTTTTCTTTGCAAGACTTTCTCGGCTCCCTGTCTTTCCGGGAGGTTGTGATTGAAGTGTCTGTGTGCTATTTAAAGAGGCGTGCAGAAAAGCAGGGTTGTTTACAGTGTCCTTAAAATACAGGCTGTCTAGAAACAGGAAGTACCATCGCCCCAAAGCGCAACAGCACACAGCGTCAGCCAACATGCAGCCACTTCCTCCTCCTCCTCCTCCTCCTCCTTCTCCTCATGGCTGAACAGAGGCTCCAGCAAAACAACCCTCACGCTTATCAGAGAATTATGCCCCCCTCCCCTCCGCTGCCTGTCCTCCTGAATGGCGCACATACACAGCAGGCTTTTCACCCCTCCACCATGTCCTATCTCGCTTTCTCCCATTCTCTTGTGCCTACAGCCCCCGCCCCTCTCCCTCCGACTGTCTCTCCTCGCCAGTACAGCATGCCTGAGTAGCTGCCTGGAGATGAAGGAGCTAATTAATTTGATTTAGCCGTCCTCTCTCTCTCTCTCTCTCAGTGGAAAAACCAGCCGTCCACCCCCCTCCCTCCCTCCTCCACACCATATCAGGCACCCCTCCCAGATGATTTTCCACCTATCCTTTCCAGTCTCCGTTGGCAATGTCCACACTCCGACCCGTCTCTTCCTCTTCTCCTTTGCTCTTTTCTTTCCTGTTACACAACCATACTTTGCCAGCGGTTTATTGCGTATCAAACGCACGGTAAATTGAATGCCAACTGCAACTCTTGTGTGGCCTACACCCATCTAATTCCTTTTTTTAGCATTTTATCTGTTGTGTGTGCCCAGGGACAGTTTGTGTGACTCAGCAGTGTTTCACTGCTCACACAAACTTGCTTGTTATAGCTCAGCGCCTCTGCTTCACGGATGTGAATTAAGCCCCACAGACTTTGGTTGATGAAACCCCATTTCTGTCATTTGATACTCAGATGGATCCGCCCATTGAGTTATATTACACAAGTCTAGAGCAGCTATATAGCTATCAAACATCACTTGTCAACATAACTCTATGAATCCTTCCTGTGCTTTCATCCTCTATATAGATACTCTGAACTTTGCAGCATGCATGTTGTGGACATCTGCTCAGGATAGTCTCTGTGAGTTTCAGTCCTCCAGTCTTGTCTTGCAGGCAAGGGGTGGTGCAGTGTTGAACTCACTAACCCCTCTACGGAAACTGAAAAAGTTTCAGGCATTGTCAGATTTTTAAGTTTCTCCTCTGCTGAAACTTAAAGAGATGAAAACGGCTGAAAATGTTTGTCAGCTGCTGAAGAAATGCAGTTTTTCTTTTAACTGAAGTGCTTTATGCAAAAGATCACAGAGGACATAGGCAAACCATTTTCACACGATCAAAGGAAATTTTTTTTCTTGATCTTCACATAATGTGGCTATAGTCACGAGAGGTCATACAATATTATTTGATACCAACAGTTTTTGTTATTTTGTGACAACTTTGTTTTACTTGTGATCCCTCACGATGAAGCTGTGTATTTGTGACCGCTCATTGGTTGTGACCAGTTCAACCAAAGAGTTCATTTTCTCCTTGTTTCATTTGAATCGTTTTAGCAATGTAGAGTTAAAATCATCCAGCAGTTCAACAGAAAGCAGTTATTTGGGTAATTCTGTAAACAAGCATAACTTATTATAGATATGATTTTATTATCCTGTTCATCATCTCACAACCCCTCAGATTTCTCTTGCAACCCCTACCACCATGTTGGGTACCATTTGCCTTTATAAGTTACATACATGCCATTAGTATTAGAAGCATAGCATAGTTTCCATATCTCACACACAAATCTTAACAGCCTGTCAGGGCATTAGAAAACATTTTGTTTTAGTTGGTTGCTACTGTTGAAGTTATTTAGCTTGAAGAAACTAATCTTATCGAGCTTTAGATATTAGATATTTCTGAATAGAAAGGCATTGTTGCACTGACCTCTGGATCTTCTCTGCTGCAGTTCTGACCATGTGATTTGTCACGTTGCCACATTAGAAAGGATATCAGGGCAGAACTCTAATATTGAAATTTTTATTACATTTTGACTGGCCCGGTTTAAATCCTCTTCATCCGGGCCAAGCTGAAACCGGTTGCCTCAAAATCTCTTATAACATTTTATTAGATGGTTTTTCTACACCCAGTGATGGGCCAGGAAAAGATTTTGACACTTTACTGGAAAAGTAAAAGTCTGGATTTTCTAAGAAAAATATATGAAAATGCACGTTTGACATAAATCTGGCACATGACAATATACAGTGGTGTAACACAGCAACACGTAGACCCAATATTGGAACATAGAAAAATAATCTAACCTTTAAAGGCTGCATATTTTTTTTATTTTAGTAGATTTACTTCAGGGCTCGTCTGGACTAGATGAACATATTGTTTCTGTTTTCATTGATAAAACTTTGATAGACAAGTGGTTATGTAATATGAATTTTACATTGCTCAACAGATATGTATTAGTGGGTATCAATTTAATTTTTGCTGGTCTTGTAAAAATCACATATCACATGATATGTGAAAAAAAGAGGAGGTACATGAAGTCTTTGCTCCATAATGTGAACTTTTCTTACTCCATTTTCCTCGCACCTAGAGGCTTTCATTAGAGCTTAAACATTTAACCTTTCTTGCAAGTGGGCATTCAACTGTGCGTGCATCCCGCAGTTTTATTGACATTCATTTACAATTTATAATTGTATGTGTCGTTTCATGTGGTTTACTTGTATGTAAGGTGGTGTTTCACTGTAGCTCTCAGTAGTCTAGTAGAGGATGAGTAGTTCGCTTGATATGTCAGTTCTGCAGTGGAAGCTCTTCAGGGCCTGGTGTGTGGATTTGTTCCATATTGTTGGATTGTTGCCCTGATATTTGTTTTTGTAAACGGAAGAGAAGTGTTAGCTAAGGACATGCTCCAGCACGCTCATCTTTCATTATTTCAATAGAGGTTTCTTCAACTTACCCACTGTACCGCCCCCGTGTCTGTAAGTCAGTGTTGAGGGCTTAAGCACCCTTTTTACCTGTCTGTGTGTGCGACTGCATATGTAAACATTTGTCATGCTTATCTGTACATGTACTGAAAATTTATGTGCTGTGGTTTCATTCTACGTGTCTGTCCAGGCCACAGAAACAGGAATCTCTGTGTTGTCCTTTTTAAGCCGCAGCTTCCTCTTTAAGAAAACCACTGACATTTGAACTCCTCCAACGTCGTCTGACTTCCCACTTTGATCTCAGCCCAAGTCAGCTGGAGAGCAGGTTAGTCATCCTTGAGGGTGTTTACTAACCCTTGAGCATGCCTCATGATATATTCACACAGTAGGAATTCAGCCTGAATTTAAGATGTACTGTTTCTGTTCATGTCTTTATACTGTATTTCTTCTGAACTAAACAAAACATTTGATACTTGATAAGCATGGCAAACAAAGCCCGTATTCAACTGAACACATACACTGCTCATTTGCACAAAAACCAAATCAGGCTGCAGGCGTGAGTCTGCATTTTGGGAACTGACGGCGCTCATTTCTTTTCCTTATCCGATTTAAGATATATATGACTCACTCAGCTTTTTTTTACTTGAACCAAAAAGCACATGTAAGTAGGTCATTGAGGGTCATCTGAATTGTTACCCTGTGCAGTTTTCATTGTAAGCATACAAAGCTTTGTTTGCATTCATAGTTTGTATTTAGTGTCTCCTTAAAGCCGCTACAATCAATATTTTTATATTTTAATAAGTAAGCGAGATATTCACAGCTTGTTTGTGCTGCCCCAACGAGGCCAGAAAATCAGTTATTGCTGGTTTAAGGCTATTGTATTTACTACCTCATAAAACATTTACAAAAGATTGTTTAAATGTTTTGAAATATGCATTTTCTTTTATTGCCGCTTCACTACAGCACATTAACTGTGTCAACTGTTACTTCCCTTCACGGTCGGCAGAAATGCGTTCTACTTTACCCCTGTCGTGTTTACATATGTGTCCTCATGCACATGCAATACGAGGACCCTCTTATCATAACACTGCTCCTGCAGAGCTGCCAGCAAGCAAACCCTCCGTAGGGTGCCTTTAACTGCAGTGCTGTTTGTGTATGTTTGTGTGATTTATAGGATAATAATTGCACTTGTTGTCTTTCCTTGGAAAAGTGTTGAGGAAGTTTTTATTGTTTTATTCTTCAAATAGTCAGTTGTGCGGTTTAAAACACATCTTATATTTACAGAAAATAAATGCGTTTGTCTGCCAAAGAAATACATTTACGCCAGAATGTTGATGAACACCTCCTGATTTAACACTAATCTTGGAACTCACTTAAACAGTTTTTTTCTTTCTTCGGATAACGGTTAAATATTGAAAGTCTTGGTGAGCTAATGGTTTAAATTTTCCACCAAGATGGCTTTCTTAGTTCCTCCATCTTTGTGTATTCAGATGTGTGTGTCGCTTGGTAGCACAGCATGAAAAGCTATGATCACGTTTGGCCAAACATCCATGAAAAGGGACGGCTGGACGACGGGGGTGCCTCTGAATACAGAGTTTGTGGCTGGCTGCAGCCACAGGACAATGCCAGCACACATGTGTGGACTGAGCGGCCACACTCCTGGAACACACACACACACACACGCACACTATTGTCTTTGCCAACGGGCAATCTGCTTCACACACACACAGGCCTTTCTTTCTTTTTCTTTTAGTTTGGATTTTACTGTCCTGTCCTGAAACCCGTCACTACCGCTGTCATGTGTCCCGTCCACACACACACACACACACACACACACACCCAGCATGCTTTGAAAACGTGCTGGAGTGCATGAGAGAGGACGCCGGGGGGAGAAACAAAAAAAAGTTCGTACAACTCCAAGAGCCAGAGAGGTCACAGGAACAACACCCAATCATAGACCAGTTCCCATGGAGACAAGTGTGGCAGCGTACAATAAGGGTGAGAGAGGGTGATGAAAGAGAGGGAGAGAGGGAAAGGGCAGGGGAAGAGTAGGAGGAGGGCGGGTTGTTGGCGTCAAGGTTCAGTTGGTGGGTACTGAGGGGGGAGAGTCAGGGGGGTAGCAGCTCCACTCAAAGGGACAGTGGGAAGTATGATGGCGTTGTAGCATAACAGTACTGGAACATTCTTCCACCCCTCCACTCATTTTTCTGCCCTCTTGTTCCAGCTGGTAGAATCCTGATCTAAGGCCACCGAATGGCTCATTGCCAAACAGAGATATGTGGAATTTCCACTGACCATGACGTGCGTGGCCGAGAGCGACCAGAACGAAGAGAGTTGTTGTTATGAGGCATTTTGCATGGATACGGGTGAATCAGAAGTGATATCCAGCTGCAGGCCTTGATGTTGGGGCCGTTGTTTTGGTGTAGGGGAGGACGGAGTTTAGTCGTGCTGCAAAACAAAACAGTCGCTTGTCACCAGTAGTTTTAGTTTAGCCACATGTGTCAGACACGGATACACACGCTGACCTAAAAGCAGTTAATTGACATGACTGGCATCATTGCTGATAGCACTTGAACCCTTTTAGCTGAGGGCATGGACAATCGAAGAGTTTCCCTGCCCCAGTTTCTGTCCCTGTCTGTCCACCTTTACCCCCTTTTGTCTTTTAAAGAGGCACTCCACTGATATTTCACATGACGATCGGTTTACCTGTCATGGGGAGTACTACTCAGCCTGTGAAAACAGTTGTATAATATCTGGAGGGAGACTTCTACAGTCTGAGAGAGATTGTGTTCTGGTCGCCATTTTGGGACCACGGCGTTGGCATAGTGGAGGAGCCAAAAACCTCGATCCATGGGCCTGTTTCACCAAATTTGCAACATGCAAGCTGCAATTTGCAACATATGATAATTTCCTTCCCAGTTATTTTTGACACATTTCACCATTCGCCCATTTAATATCAGGCAAGAGGCCGACAGACTTGATTTATCTATAATGTGCAAGCAACAATCGTGTGTAATGTGATGCCAGCACCATTTGCGATATGTGTGTAAGCAGTGCTTTTGTAAGTAAGTTTTCATGCAACCAAAAGCAACGTCATCTGGCAACATACTCTGCTGGGCAATCAAATATGTGCAAATATGGTAGATAACGTTGTTAAATTTTAAAGTAGTATCAAACTGGTCGGGTTGGGCAACATGTTAAAATTTTCCAACCGCCCACCGTCAGTCCAACAATCGTCAATTGCCGTTATATTTGTGCATGTGTGTGTGTGTTACGCCAGCGCCCCCCAACTCCCCCTAATCACCGTACCAGTAGTTTCAGCTGGGAGATGAGCAGCGAGTTTAACAATCTCTAACAGTTGAACTCACTAAACAGAAAATACAACCACACACCTTCTGAATTCAAGTTTCTCTCTTTTACCGAACTAAGACCTTAACTCATCTTGAACACCCTCATTCAACCTCGACAGAAACAAAATAAAACTCACCAAACAGTCTTGATTAATATTTCCACTGTTCTGACAATCACCAACTCTGTTGTCTAACCAGCTAACAGAATTAGATCTTCGCTGTCGCTGCCACTCTGATCGCCGACCTCCCTCGCTCCTCTACCAGCTTCATGCCTCTCCTCTCCTGGCCTGCCCCTCTCCCGTCCCGGGCTGTCCCTGCTGTGTCCTCATCTTCCCCGGAGTTAGAGTCTTGTTTGGAGCCTCTGCAAATCACCTTATAACTGTATTCACTGTAGTCGAAATGAACCCTTAATTCACCGCGGTGAGATATGAATATACACTACAGCAGTTTTTCCTTTCACTCGTTCTTTGGCTCAGTGTGTGTACTGCGCCGCTGAACGTCTATCACTGGGCGGCTCTCATTCATCGGAGGCAGTCCATTAAATTAGCCAAATAAAGTGACGATGGACTCGGCAATCGCAGATAGCTGATGTATTCATCCAATCGCCCAACCCTATTTTTGATCTGAAAGCCCTTCGAGGTAGAGTTTAGAAAGTAGAGTTTGAAAGATGTGGGCGAGAAAGATGCTATCAAGTTGCATCATAGGAAATGTCTGACCCAGCGTTTTTTGGCACCTGACCCAGACTGTGGACTTTAAGTCAGGATATCTCGGCCTCTGCTGCGTCGGTTTTGACCATTCTTTTTTTAACCTGTCTCTTATAAGCCCCTAAACTTTTTTGAAGTGCAGTGCTAAATCGCTGTAGTACCCCTTTAATGCCTCCATCTTTCCCTCAACTTCACTTGTTTCACAGAGTGCTCCAATCCGCCATTTGACTACTGCCAGTTTGTCCTCTCTCTGTCTCACTTTCTCTCTGTCTCCTCCGCTCACTCTGCTCTCACTCTCCGTCTGTGTGTCTGTCCGTCCGTCCTTGTGCCCAGGTTTTGGAGTTGGCGTGGTTCCTGTTTGTTTTCAGCCATTTTGGGGACTTGCAGCGCTCGTAACAAACTGCTTAAATGGCGTCCTCTTGCTTGCTTGCTCTCCCACTCTGTCTCCCTCTGCCTCTCCCTCCCTCTCCCTATCGCTGGGCTTTGTGTATATAAAGTAGTGTGTGTGTGCATGTGTGTATTAGTGTGTGTGTGGAGAGAGGGAACAACACTTCCAAATAAAAAGAAGATTGGATTCAGTGGGGGAGTTGGTTGGGGGGTGTGCATGCAGAGAGAGAGGTGGGGGGGGGGTTCACTTGCTGGAAAAAAAGAGCAAAAACACTAAGAATGGTGTGTCACAGGCAAAAACTGGAGTGAGAGGGGAGAGAGAGGGAGAAAGAGGGAGAAAGAGAGCAAGCAAGTTCGAGTGTGAGAATCGCTCCTGCCCTCTGTCTTCACACACTGCTGCCTGTATGTGTGTGTACTTGTGTGTGCGCACCGCCTCTCCCTACGCTCACTCTCTCTCTCTCTCTCTCTCTCTCTCTCTCTCTCTCGCACTCTCTCACTCACACACATTCAGACGTGCGCATACACAGACCAAGGGGGAGAGAGAGAGAGAGGGAGAGAGGGAGTGTGAGTGTGAGGGGAGAGAACACATCGCAGCAGAGATGCAGCAGGAGGTTTTCCGAGGTACGTTCTCTTGTATGCTTGCCTTCCTGAGAGACAGCCAGAGAGAATAAGAGGAAGAGAGGCTGAATTCTGTTGTTTTCCTGCTTGTTTTTCTGCTTCACTCCGCTGCTGTGGCGGTGGTTGCTCCGCGCGTGAAGAGGAGGAAAAGGTTTTTATTTTACCGTGCGTGTGTTGGGGCGTGAGTGTTGGTGGGTGTATTTATGCAGTGTGTGTGTGTGTTTCTGGAAGCGTATTTATGAGTGTGTGTCTGTGCTGGGTCTGTCTGTGTGTGTGTGTGTGTGTGTGTGTGTGTGTGTGTGTGCCAGTAACAGGCCTTCTCTCCCTCATCCTCCCCTCTGTTGCTGGCGCACCACGCAGTTCTTTTTCAGAGCGATGACTCGTTTTGAGATTGTGATCAAACTTTTAATTTATCGATTCCTCTTGCATCTCTGTGATCCACCGCAAATCAGGGGGTGTTCAGCACACGTCAGAACAGATGTGAGCATTGTTGTTGGGGGTCTTAACATGGTGGGCCAGTCTGCCCACTCCTGCCCATCAACTTACTACCAACATCAGAGGAAGTGTTTTGGGAGAAAAACTTGTATATAGGCGACGGTAAACATCTCTAGTTCCACCGAACAGTTCTGTCTCTTATTTCGGTTATGGGCCGCCCAGTTTGTCCTCCATTTTACCAGCCTGTTGTTGTGCTGGAGGTTGTCTCTCCTAGAGCAGCAGAGGGCATATTGATGTCACCTACCCCATTGTTGGGGGCCCTAAGCCTTCAATTTTTTTAAGTTTTTTTTTTTTTACCAAAACAACAGAGCATCTGCTGCCTACTACTCCCCATTCCTGGTTTTCATGGATGCCAAGCCAAGCCCCTATACGATCCACACTGCCACAGGGTCATAGGTCAGGCAATAGGAAGTGTAGTTTCTCGCTGCTCTGTGGTGTCACACAACTGATGTTGTCATAGTGGTGGCAGCCTTTTTATTGTGGTCATTTGTGTTTAGGTCACACAGCAGATAAATAATTTTTGCTGTATTTATCTATGAGCCTTTTTTTGCCCCGTGCATAGAAGCGCTAACATGCAACTCTTGCGGGTTGCAAGACCGAGTTTGTTGGCTTTGTTTTATTATGCTTTTTTTTTTTTAATGCCACAAACATAAAGGATGTGGACACGTTCAGGAAACTGGTGCAGCACTTCATCTTCTCTAACCTGACATATACTTGCAGTTTATGGTGAGTGTTGTTACATGGCGCTCTGCCTCAGCCTTGCTAATACTCAAATGTTTCTCGGTTGTTTGAGACTGAGAACTCCAATGGGGCTTTCACACTCCCTTCAACAGGGACTGCGTGTGAAATTGAAAATGATTTTGGGGAAATTACCTCAAAAAGGTCACAGGTGTAGTGTTACTGCTCTCCAGGGGTACCTTTTTGGCCTTACTGTTCCTAATGCCTCCCATGATTCTGTTGCAGCAAGCAGAATTATGGGAATTACGTGCTGGCTGGGAGCTAACAGAGCGTGGAGAGTATGGCGTTTTAGACATGGGTAGGTTCGTTGGTGCATGGAGCGGCATGCGAAAACACCACGATACGACAGTTTACACGTGGGGAGGGGGAGATGAGGGGGCATGCAGTCAGTCATGCTGGGGGGATCTGAAAGACAAGGAAACCATGAAATGTGAACATAGGAGAGGCATGTTTGAAGTTACCCCTACCTCTCCCACTCACATCACCACAACCACCACCACCACCACCTCCACTCAACCACTCCCCGACCCATACCAACTTCTCTTACCTCCTCCCTCCTTCCCTCCCTCCTTCCCTTTCTCACTTCAACCTATCTTTCCCCGAACCTCATTTACCTCAACTCGACCTTCCCCTCTCCTTCCCTCTATCCCATCTGGCTGGCTCTACCACGCTCTCTTGGCCGGGGGGTTGTGGAGAGTTCAGTAGCTGTTCTTGCTAACGATGCCCCCCCCCTTGCCTCCCACCCACCCACACACACCCTCATGCGTACACATACACCCCTCTCTTCACAGACCAACTGCTGCTCCGATACTTGGGCCCCTCTGGCTGCCCCTCACTGGGGAGAAAGCCCAACTGACACCTTCCTCTTCCCACATGCTCCTCGCCACTGGCTCACCGGCTGGAACACCGAGGCCCCCCACATTCTGCCTCGCGGGCACTCCCCTTAACTCCTCATACACACACACACACAATGACGGCACATCACTGCTAAAGATATAGTTAAAAGATAATTCTGGTTTATTACAACTTGGTTTCTTATTTTGGTAGTTTTGGCCACTATTCCTATCAGTAATAATAACTTTGCACTCAGCAACCTAATTGCTGAGATCTGTGACTACAGTGACGCTGCTAAAACAGAAGTGCAAAATAGAAATACACAAATTACAGATCAACTTCCTGGTTCTGCTTTGACCTGCAGTACTTAAGGCTCCAGTGTACTCTGTCAGGTTATTGTAGCCTTGTGCACACGCAGGTTTCATGTGCAGTTGGGGATTACTGCCAAGGGACTTGCTGATGAAATGTAGCTAATCCATTGCCTGTGATAAATAAACAAATAACATCATTTTCACCTCAAAGTAGAGTGATTTAGATCGTTTCTACTCAGAACTCAGCAACTACTTTGGTGTGTTTTGTGGCCAAAACAATGAAAATACAACCCAACTTGTAATCAAACAGAATTGTCCTTTAATGGTGAGAGTAGTGGGGAAGCAGAGATGACTTGATTTTAGCTATACTCTATTAAAGACATTTTAATGAGGCTTCAGTACAAATAGCTGTTTATATTCATATTAAAATGTTAAATTAAATGGCACTAAAACAGTATTAAAAATGCATTTTGCTATGATCAGTCTTCTAATCCTCAATTACAAGAGCTATTGGACCAAATAGCTTTAAACTGTTTATTTTATAACTAAATTAAGTTTCAGTTTGCATGTAGTTTCTCTCTGAAGTGCATAATATCACGATACTTGTAGGCTAGATTTTTTCTTAGAGATTTTCTTAGAGATGGAAAACAAAAACAATCACTGAATCCTAAAGCTTATTTGTCTGTCAGCACAAGTACCAGTTTCAGTGTAGAATAAACAGATTGCTCAACGGCTGGTTCAAGGCCCTGAGCTGGCGCACCAGCCTAACTCTTCTGCCGTTCTGCCTTATGTTATGCAAGGCCACTTTAGCAGTGATGTTCCCAGTGACTGTTTAAATTCAGTGGATTACTAACTAATGGTTTCCAAGGTCATAAAGTCATCTATGTTTTTTAGATGCTAGTGGCAAAGTATCTCAGAGTCAAATAGTAAAACTTCTGCCGTTTTATATTGGTCCCAAAATTCAAGCAGAAAACCCAAACAGCACTTAAAATATTAGTTAGTTAATTGGTTTTAAGAGAGCGAGACTAATCTGCAAGTTTATGCTATTTCTAATGGTTTAACATGCAAAAACGGAAAAAGGAAATTCCCAGAATCAAGAGCCAACAGTGTTTACTTTTGTCTCACATTTGTCATTTGATATGGAATACAAATTGAATCAGTGCATGGCAAAATGTATGCCTCTGTTCCCTCCGCCTGCCAGTGAAGAGCGACTGTCTGTTACATGAAATGAAATCCAGCGCGTTTGGTATAATGTATTTTTTGTTTACGTGAATCTAGTTAGTAATTTGTCCTGCACCAGCTGAGTACCTGTTCGTGCGATGCGGTTTTGTATTGCCACAAGCGTAAATAGATGAGCACTTCATAAGCCGACCAACATGTTTGTTTGTGCAGAACATCCTGTTGCAGAGAGGTGTGGGAACAGGGTTGCTGTTTATTTTGATTTTGCTTTAGGGTCCTTGCCACATTCATGGTCACATTTGTTTGTGTGCCTGCGAATGGTACAGAAAGATGTATGTGTCTTCATGTGCATATCCACTCATTTGCACAAATAAAAAACCAAAAAATAAAAGTGTCTTTCTGCATGTCCTATGCATTTGTGCGCATATCCCTGTGTGTATGAGTAAATCTAGTCCATTTAAAGCCTGTTAGAAGCTGCCTGTCACAGTCAGACAGCGTGTCGTGCAGGCTCTGGTTGTGCAGCGTCTGTGTGCGTCACAGGGAGATAACGAGGGGGCGTCATACGCATTTTCCTGTCCGCGGCGCAAGCATCAGATGAGATGGTGAAATTTTTAGCCTTAGCACTGTCTCTCAGTGTGTCCGCCCACTTGTAGGAGACTGCCGCTTGCCATAAGGGATTTCCTGCACATCTATCGCTCAGCAAATGTGAGCGACAATGACTGTTTCAATACAGAGCCACAAAAGATGGCAAGTCTGGCAAGACCGGATTGTCCTTGTTTTTAGACACAGATCATCTTTAATAGACATGAACTGGTTTGTTGTCCTTGTACAACAAATGAATGCGCCACTGCTTGCCCTAAGAACGTCATTAATTGCCACTTCTGTTTTCCTCTTGTTG